TTCTTAAAGACATAGGAATGTCATGTTCATCAATCAAGGCAATTAAGATATTTTAGTGTATCTGCAGCTTTCAGCAGACATGGTGTTATCTGAGACAGACATTGAACGACTACAATTTCTGTGGAGTATGCTGCCAGTATCTTTCAAGCTTTATAAGGTCTATCATGCTTAATTTCTGATTCAGTCCAGTACTACAGCCCAGAAAAGGCTCTTGGGCAAGGCCGTGTGTAAAGGGAGTAACAGCAGCCTGCAAAACAACTGTGGTGAGCCAGTAGAGCTACCACAGGCTGTAAGGCAAGCTTTGGAAAATACCCAGGATCAGAGATGCATGTGATGAGGAACTACTGCTTTCCAAGCAACAAATACAGGGTGTTCCTGGAGTATGTCTGCCACAGTGTCACTCACAACTTGACTCGGAGACCTCCCTGGCACAGAGCAGTAATTCATCTGGACTCTGTTCTCGATCTGATGTGACACCGTTCCCTCACAAAACACCATGCAAGAAGATTCCAATAAAAAGCAGTGGTCAACCTCAAATTTGACACAGAGGTTTGCAGGTGGTCAAACTAATTTTCTACTGTCACTCTGAAGATCCTGTTTGGACTGATAACATTGCCTCTGCACAAGTTCATGAGCCACAGATCGTCAAGGAACAAGCAATAACAGGGTGAAGTGATCAAGTTGACCTCGATGGGCTCACATAAGAGGCGAGCTGGCCAAGTGAAGAGGCTGAAGGTTCAAAATAGCTCTACATACTGGCATTGAAACTTGTGAGTCTGCTGCCATAGCTAGAGATCCACTATTACTGCAAAGTTAAGGTAGTCAAAAAGTATAGAGGCAGGAACAGCAAAATACCCTTGCAATGTTCAGATCCAATCTGTACCTGGGCAGAGGCACAGTGCTTTGTTTTATTTCTCAAAGCTTCTTCTAAAGCAGCAACTATTTTTCTTCAAAGCAAAGGCCTCTTGACCTACCAGAAATACTACATATACCCACATGCAGCAGTGTATACCTATTCAAACAATGGGTAACAAAAACCGCACTAACTCCAGCTGTCAAATAACAAACCTTGAATTCCCTTCCTGCCTGCTGTCAGCACAAGACCTCCAGGCCCCCTCTGACCATGGCACTAGTGCCACAGGTCAGCATGTTTAAAATATGCCCAGAAAGTGGCCCCCTTATCCGAGCTGAATCTCAAGGCTGTTCCTGGATCTCTGGATGCCTGAGCATGAAACAAAACATTTTTCCCTGACATAGCCTTGGGTAAGGCTGTTGTGGTATTAAACTTCTGAAAACACCTAAAACAAACACACTGAGAAACACAGTAAATACCTAGAATAATAGGCAAAATGAACTAGGTTTTCATCACCCTCATTGCCCAGATCTTCATAGTTCTAAAGTACAAAAACACCGTGACACAGAAAAATTATCCCGAATTCAAGATACTTTGGAAGTCATAATTTAGAAATACATTATTAGGTGACTGTTTCAGAGTCCTTCCCTGCCCCATTTTTTCAACTTAGAGGATCTCTTCAGAAAGTACTTAAATAGCGGACCAAAATAATTTTGCCCCTCAGTTTACAACTTCTAAGTGGGTTGGCTCAGGTACCTGAGATACATCACTAGCAAGTATCAGGCTAATTATAATTAACTTGCTCCAGGAACTAACATCAGATTTACTCTCAAAGGAAATTTTTAAAAATTATTATCAAATTGTTGCAAAGCAATGCTGATTAAATCGTGGGGAAAAAAGTCTGTCAAATTATTACAGCCTCAGTAGCATTACTCAAAATTATAAAAAAATAAAGACAAGTCCTTGATTTTCCTGACTTCATTTCACATAACACATGTTAAACATCTGTATCAGGCATAACATCTTAAAGGTTTTGAGGATGAGGATGTCAACGAAAACAATAGTGAATCCATTGCCAGGAACTCTGATTCCATGTATTCATATGTATTCAATCCTAAGTATTCACATGAGATTAATTTTATATGCCCCTCCTTCCCCCCTTTAACTATTTCAATTGTGACTATGTGCCTGAAGCAGCTCAGGGAAATTCAACCGACAGGCATAATAAAAGAATCCTTCATTAACTTAGGACTTGATAATACACTTAAGGAGTCACTTTCATCTTAAAACTTTTACGCCTTTCTATACACATTTTTCTGGTGCAAATCCCTAGAGTTTCCAAGTGCCTCTGCAAAAACTAATTCTTTCTCAGAACAAGCAGCTCCATGACAAAGCAACTATCTCCTTTCTAAAAACTGGGTAACTGAAGCAGTGAAGATACCCAAAGCCGAAAAGAAAGTTATTGTAAGAGTTCAGTAGTTCCTGGCATTCAGCTGAGACCCAGATCAGTACAGAAATGCACACACGCACTCACTTCCCCAGGAATATTTGATCAAATAAAACAAACAGAAAAGGCTTGCATTTTTCATGCCAAGTTCAATATAAACACTTGAGGCTATTACATGCACCCGTATTCTATTTCCTATGATAAAGCACGGCCAAATATGAATTGTGATAGAAGACATTTCTAAGAAATACTTGAAAGAGATTGGAACTTCAGGGGTTCTTACTTGAAGAAAGTGTCTTCCCAGTTTTAACATATGAGATGTCACCCCAACAGGGATTAATGAAGTAAAACACAAACAAATTCCTTGAAGATCATAGACATGATTACAGCATTTCATGATATGACCTTACATTTAACAGATTTCAACCTTAACATGAAAGTGCTAAATTACTGATTCAGTTTTGCAAGGACTGTTCAGAATACATAATCCTATACATTTCCAGTCTGTCTTTTTTTCTTCCCCCACCCCCTGCCCCAGTCTACAGGGAAGAAAAAGCACCCAAACCTTACTATCCTTTACTGAAAAGCCTGGGTGTGTTACAGGAGGAACACATGCCTCTCCTGCCTTGACCCCCCCTCACATCAGCCACCCCTCCTATGTTTAAATTTGCAAACCCTTATTGTCAGTATATTCTACACAAGTGTCAAAGTGAGTTAAATTAATGCATACATGTATGTTGCATATTTATGAGAACCAGGATAACTGCACAAGTATGTTTAATGCATGAGCCCTCCAAGGAATTTGCTAGGGGAAGTTTACACTCCTCCCAGAAAGTAAGGAATGTGTAATTTAGCAGCATTCTAGCACAGGGCAGGTTAAAAACAAAACGAAACTCGACCTCCTCCCCCAAAGCAAGCCTTCACTTCAAGATTTTCAGATCTTGCATTTCATATTATCAGAACTTCAGCCAACCTCTGAGCAAATACATGATTTATTTTAAACATGCTTTCGATGCTGCTAAATCTAACTAATGTACTGTCAAACAAAAGCACTGGTTTTATCCTGGAGTATACTGGAAATACTGTGTGACAAACGGATCTCTACCTTTGCTATCAGCATTTGCAGGCAACAGGAAATACCTCAGCTGGTAAATCAAGCTCATGTAACTTGAGGTGATGGATACATTCTACTTTTAGACAGAAGGCCACTTGGAGTTGGTTTTGCAATAATGGAAAAGATAACATTTGCTCTGCTTTGTTCTCAGAGTCTGATCCTATAAGTAAAATCCGATCTTTCCAAGTTGTTTACACTCTTCTGCTCGACACTGTTGCCAGCAAGCCTTGCTCCAGCTTCCTGTGCGTTTTTAGAGCAGCCATCTCCTAGGGCTGAGACTGGGAACTGGTCGGGAAACGGGAGAAGGAGGCTAAGAACTACAAATCATGAAATATACTCTGTGCCCTACACTTTGGTGTATCCCTGAAGTACAGAGACAAGACAGCTTCAGGCAAACTGCTTTCTTACCATAAGCACATTAGAGGAGGCACAAGCAGCCTCTTTCTACTCGACAGCAAGTATTTTTATTCAAAGCCAAATATTTAAATCTACCATTCTGTCAAGCTGATTAGGCAGTAGGGGCACAGCCTGCACCCTCGTGTGTGTGTGACTCGCTCACGTTGTGTGCACACAACTGCAGAAACTGCCCTTTGACGTAAGCAGCGCCAGCGGCACCGCACCAGGGGGAAATTTGGGTTTATGCAAATGTGCACTTGGCAGTTGATTGGGAGGTACAAGCTCCATCTGCAGCCTGCTTCATCCCATCCCTGGGCACCCTTTAGTAACTAAGAAGTTACAAATTCCCCCGATACCATGTTCCCACAGCAAGGGCTCTTCTGTCCATTTTCAACAAAATCCCTGTTACATCAGCATCTTTGCTCTCTCATTACAAATTCCCTAATTGTGTACGCACATTGCTCTCACAGGACACAGTACCAAGGATTTGTGTGTGTAATACTGTAAGAATATGAACTAAGAAGCTCAGCTGTCATAGCCTGCAATGTTTTCTTTGTACTCTGGCATTCTGTTTTGATGTGGTTTTAGAGTAAACAACAGTATGGCATAACTTAAAACCAAAAATTTTCTTCTTGTTCTATTGCTTTCAGAACAGTTACAGTTCTGGCCAGTCCCTTTGAGTGCAACACACACACAAAAGTAATTGGACTACCATAGTCAGCAACACTTGCTTTCTGTAAGCAATGTCCCCTCAGTGAAGCATTAAGGCTGCACTACAGAGGTAAAAGAATCTGCGTTTCAGTATTTGTATATAGTGGTCATGGCAGGGATCCAAAGGTATTTATGTTAATTTACAACACATTTAGGTAAACGATCTGCTTTTGAAGACAGCCAATTCTGCAAAGGCCTGTTGGAGATCTAAATCTGTTTCTTATTTCCTTTGCCCACCCCACCACCTTTTTTAAGTATACTTCATGGTTGTGAAAGGTGATTGAGAGGGTGACTGGGTATGGAAGCAGCTTACTTGCACGACATGCAAAGCATAGGGACAATATCCATGCAAATTGCACATAGTTCTTTGTAGTATTTTGGTGACAATTCAGAAGTAACTTTATTCAGCAAATGAATGTATAACAATGCCATTTGCAGACACACTTGTCACCAGGGACAAAAAGTAATTTCCCCTTTACCTCTCTTTCATGATGGTCAAGACCCTCCTCAGGGTTTCTGAGGTTGAGGATGTGCACTTCTTGTGGCAGGCTCGTCGTGCCTCGGCTTGCACAGCCAGATAAGACTGTAAAACTTTCCAATAAGGCATGGACTGGATGTGAATTGTTAACAGGCGATAAGACACATTCATTGAGAGGCACAGGACCTGCAGAGGAAGACACAGATAGATATTATTTGGAGAAAAAAGCAGTACATCATTTACACTCAAATAATGATGATCCTTTTGTTCAGAAAACCCACAGGAACAGAAGCAGAAGCTTCGTGTTCGTTCTCCACAAAATGAAGACATTTATTCCCGTTGCCCTTTCAAGTTCCCCTGAATATTCTAACTCATTGGTTCATTTCTCTCTGAAAGTCTAAATTTCAAGTATGAATTCCAAAACTGAAGGTAGTCTTTTTGTTACCATGGAGGGATCCATGGAGAAAACAAACTACCACCAGTGATAGAAGTCAGAGGAACTGGTTTGTCTTAGATGTGAATTATTTGTTTATGTCAGACATTGTTATCTCCAAACATTGAAAAATGCATTCATGTATATATAACAATGAAAAGTTAATCTCTACTATAAAGGTAATTACATCAGGAAGGATTTGGGCGAGTTGGATTTGTTGCTTTTGAAGCAGTGCTGATTTATAGTGAATGTCGTTCAAATACATTGTACAAAACAGCAGGCATCTGTCACACGATAAAATGAAATGTTTGTTTACTGAGCCTATTTTGTGTCTGACAGCAATTATCTACACTGATAACAGATATCTAGTCCAAAACAGAGTGTACACCGCCCTTTCAAATAATCACCACAGCATGATGTAGTGCCATACTCTCATATAGTACGTGAGACCGTGTGATGTGATATAGCAAGATAGCGCAAAAGCTGAAACATAAAGAGCAGTTTACATTTAAACTATATCTCAGGAAACTAAATCAAGACAAATATTTATGAAATGCAGCCCTGCTTTTCCAAAACTGCTCAAACCCACCCCTGACAGTAACAGATACAGCATGGTTTTGATCCAGAAGGTCATAGGAGAACATAATTGACTTAACCCTAATTTGCACTAAAGTCACTCAGATAAGAATTAGACTCACATGAACCAGTTAGTTTAGAGGCTGCCAGGCATAAAAAGGAAATATAAGCTCGAAGCATATTTTTTTTCCAGATAGCGTACATCTGCAATTGAAGTAAAATGCTTCTTTTGAAAAAAGTTCAAAATTAAAGAAAATCCTCAGCTGATCAAATGGCAGAGCTCTGGTTTTGTCAAGTCTAGAGCCAGATATTGTAGCACTAGAGATCATCTGACTTCGGTGTACACGTATGTTTAATTATATTAGCACTGACCTACACTTTATTGGTTAAAAACAGTTTTTTCAAGATAGAGTTTGCAGCTGGGCATTTATTTAGAAGTCAAAGAGACCATCTTAAACCAGACTATCTGGAAAAAGCAAAGCCCCCGAGCACAGGGAAATTTCTGCAGTGCCTCGGGCCATGTGTGCCTTGTCCTGCCAAACAGGCCGTTCCTGAAACCCACCAGTGCATAGTGCATATCCTCCCAGCTCCCACAGAGCAGGAATATTTGTAAAGGCAATACTCAAGGCATAAATTATGCATGCCTGTGCTTGGGGTACAGAGCATAAACAAACTTTCTGCTCTCTAAATGAGGAGCTTGGCAGTAGCACTGACCACCAGCTTGGAGGACTTGAGGTTTTTTGGTTTTTATTTAAATCCTTTTAAAGAATACGCATACAAAATGGGAAGCAATGATACTCAGTTTACAAAAAAAAAAAAAAAAAAAAAAAAAAGAAATCCATTAAAAAGCTGCTCTTTGTAATGTTTGAAGAAATATTTAGAATTTGTAACAATAACACAACCAGTAGAGAGGCCACATTTTCCTGATGTACAGGACCAGATCAGAGACCCTGCTAACCAATTAGCCCAGCCACTGATGTGTAAGTCCTGCAGCAGACCATGTTATACAACCTGCACAAAAAGCTTTTCTAAACTGCACAAGGATTTCTTGGGCTAGGGAGCAAACAGAGTGCCAAGGAACACTTGTTCATTGAATTGTTTCTTGCAGACCAGAATGGAGTTCATGTTTAAGATGCTTCAATCATAACACATAACAAACACAGATAACAAGGTGTAAGACTGAACAAAACCAGAAATGGAGTTGCTGACAAAAATGTGAGTTTTCCTTAGTAAAGGTTCAAGACAAAGAGCTAACACCTCCTTTGTGATTTCCCTGTGAACACCTATTTCAATGCAGTACATCTACAAATCCTCCTCTCCAGCCTTCATTTGGTATTTATTCTGAACAAATTTACCATATTAGTGGAGAAGACATCTGGATATTCCCCTCACTTCCTACAAGGACTCATCCACATGAAGATGATGGTGACTGGTACATTCAGGCTCTGTCTCCCTTGCCAGCACCTCAAATGTGCATTAAATCCCTCTTTCAAAGTCTTCTGTTCTGCTCAACATGCAAGATGAAAACACTCCCAGAGGGAGCAGAAGTTCACATCCCGGATAACCAAGCGCAGCCAGGCTTATGTGCACAGTGATGGGTGGACCAAGGCATGCCTCCTCTGCCTGCACTCCACCCTGGCAGGACGGGGCCAGATCTCCGGCAGAAACTCTGTCACTCTGCTGGCAGTGAGCCCATGTGCTGTCCCAGTCCTGAGCAGGGCTCACTGCTGTAGGCCTGCTCTCACACCAGTGCAGCTGCACAGTGTCTGGCCACATACCCTGCTGGCCTGGGCCACCCCACCTCCAGCAGCTCTGTTTTGAGGAAAGGGGTGCACAGAGCTGCTCTAAACTGCTCAGTGTAAGAAACCAATGTTTTCAGGGAGCTACTGCATTTGATAGAGCTGCTTTCAGACCAGCCTCCTAAGTGACCGAGATACAGCCCTTGAAATCTGAACTGAAGATCAGAGTATCTCCTGGAGGCTGCTCCACTGCAGTCAGACCACAGAGCTGTAATACTGCCCATGCACAAGGCATGTTGGTGGGGTAAATAACAGAGAGGTTTCTCCAGCTGTTACATTTTTGCCAAGTTTCACATAGCTGCCTGTGTAGCTTTGTTCTGGACCTATACTACTCTTTCTAGGAAATCAAGACTCTCGCGAACACTATTTCTCTTAAGCATGCTGGCAGTACCAATCCACAATCCTCACACACTGATATTCGTGTATTTGCCCAACCACTAATCTGGGTGTAGTGCCATGCCCAACATACACTGGCATGCCTGGAGGTAGTGCCAAGTGAAAGGAAAAATTACTTCTAGATCATGAAGTCCACTGAATGCTCAGCCTGTACATAGCACAAGACAGCTCCTTCTGCCACCATCTCCCAATTCATGCTGTATTTTAGTCTATTCTTACGCTGCCTGCACTCCAGCAATGCTGGAGCTTTTTGCTCAAAATTCACTAACCATATTTCTTTCCAGCCCTTCCTACCATACCTGCAGACCTGCCCCAGTCAAAGAAAGACAGATGTTGCTACAAGGCACTGTCACTCCAGCAGGAGCAGCAAGAGCTCTCCTCTATCCAAATTAGCAGCTCTTGGCTCCTTCACAGACCCCTCCTCCTTATCCTCCTTCCTTCCTGCCAGCTTCCTCTGACCAGAGAGCCAGTTACTTCTATGTAGTTTAAATCCTACAAAATGCATATTTACCACTCTGAAAAAAACAGAAAGCCCTCTATATGACACTACTAATCTGATTGTTTATCACCTCCAGATCACCTACTTATATTTGAAAGCCAGCATGAAACCACAACCTCATCTTGCCTGGGTTTTATTGTTCCACTGCTCTGCCCTGCACAAACCCCCAGACAGGGCTTTGCCAGCTTCCTCCTACAGCCCCACACCTTGTTCCTGCCAACCTCATCTGGATCAGAGACACCAACATCCTGCCAAAATTCACTATCATCAACACTTTAGGGCCAGTTCATCCGATTAACACACCAAGATTGCCTCTTCAGCTCCAAACATGTACAGATATTCTCCTGCATCTCCATCCCCATCAAACTGGCACTTAAAGAGTCAAAGGTATCTTTCAGTTTATCCATTCTAGTGTGATCGTACGCCTTTAGTGCCTTCTCTGCTGAGAATATAAGTGCACACACACAGCTATCCTTGGGCTTTTGTTTAACTTTGGAGCATGTAACCACTTAATCTTGTTAGCAAATCCTGGCTCCTACCACAGTCAGATTTTAGTTGCTTAATGCCTTTAGAAGATGGAAAGCAGGTGAACCAATTATTAGGTATGTGTTTTACAATGGCAAATATTTTGTGAATTCAGATTTCTAGACAATCATTCAGTATTGAATTATTTTTCACTTCCAAATAATAAGAATATTTTAAAGGAAATCAATGCAGACCCAACCTTGTTTGATACTAACATCTGGAACATATTCAATACAACTTCAACATTCTTGTTTCCCATATCATCCATGCTACTAATGAACAACATGTGTTCTGCTGTAAGAAGGTAGCAGAAATGGGAGTAAGACACTAAAGGGGATAATACAACAACCCAAGACCAACACATAACTGTGATGGATTTATTTAAATAGTAAAGGCTCATGTACTTTCTGTTGTATTTCCATGGTGGTTTCTACAGTGTTGTCAGTTGAAAATTGTGAGCAGCTCCTGCAAATTGAGTGAATCTGTGCTGGGGGCTCCACAGCACACTAGCATGGTTCCCCTATGCCATACCAGAGGGTACAAGCCACACCAATGGGATATAACACTCCTCAGAAAAAGGACAGATTTATTCTAATTAATTTTTGAATGAGGGAATGACACAAATCTAGTCATTATATATAAAGACAAAAAAGGCAAAATCCAGACTTGAGGAACACCAGGGATCTCTATGCTGTCAGGTACAAAGTAATATAAATTACTGCAGATCCTGCTAGAATTCATCAATTTATATGCTGAAAAGCACATTAAGATGTGGAAGAGGCTAACTAAAGCAGAGATTTCAGTATGCCCAAATGACAGACTTGCATGAAAGTTCTTTTGGAGAAGGTTAATTTAAGGGCATTCTCTTATATTAGCTAGTAACAATGATGACTGGAACAAGAAAAAAGAAAAAAAGACAGGATCCTCAAACCTCCTTTTGAATGACAAAGGGAAGGGG